GATTCTATGATTCTATGATCTGCTTTCTACTAAACCTTTCAAGTAACGAGGATTGTATACACAGATGGAAAAATGGCCAAAGTGGTAAAATAACCAATGGCATAAGATGATCAAGAAGGTATTTGTGATTCATGATTTTATATACAGTTTCACTAACTGTTAAATGTGAAGTTGTGGGCAGCCTGTTTATCAGTGTGAACTAGGCATAAAGTGAAACCGAACCAAGATGAGCTTTTTCACCAGTCCTGGAAAAACAAAGCCTCATTTCCTACAGATGTGTGTCCTCAGCACACTTAAAATGGGCCCAGTTCACTCTCCCTGCCTCCCAATACTTTCTGCTCCTTTCTGCCAGTATTCCCACATCTCCTCCTTGTCCCTTGTCTGGGCAAGCAGGAGCATATTTTGTGCCTGGCTTTTAGGTAATGCTAACAACCTAGCGACTATGTGCGTGTTGAACCAGCAGCTAGCAGCTTGGACTAGGTAACTCCTGAACAAAGGTAAGGGCTCTATCTCTTTCAATAGGAACAGAAATTTTTTTCATGATTACTGGATTTCACAAAATTTACAAATATATTCTCATCTTTTAATGTCTAGCTTTAACTGGATTTGATACAAAGCCAGCTCCCAGGTTCAATTGTTATTGGGAAGGCAGGCAATGGAGAACACCTGCTCACAATGTATTACCATGGAAAACTACTTCAAAATGCTGAGTTTACAACTGCCAGGGTACCAAGGACTTGCCCTAAGAGTTCTGACTGCTTTCGGTTTGAAATGGACAGAAGAAAGGTAAGGGATAGCTGTAAAAGGGGCATGGTTATAATCCATTTTTTGACTATCTGTAGTTACCGACAGTTGTTTCTATACCATAAGCTGCAACTGCAGTTTTTAGTAACTGGATTTTATTACTTCCACATCTTAGAAGAAAGGGCAAGATGTGAAAGGCTAGAACCAAATGATCCTCTTGCTGCTGCAGGCATGGCTCACTCAGATCCGCAGTGAGGCAGGCTTGCTCAATGATTTGAAAAAGTTTTAAGATATCCGCTGTTTATGTTTTCTTAGCTGCTCAGTAAATATGGATCTGTAGAAAATCCCAGTCATGTTGGGGCACATAGCTTAGCACTATACATTTAGTGATGGGCAGTTCAAAAGAAAATTATGTTACACATTATGTCACACATGTAGTCAGTATTATAGCTACAAATTTTACCCTTGAAATATATTCTGTCAAAAACACTGTCGATGCCTTGTAACATTTCCCTTCACTGAGGCAAAACTTGGATGAGCTGTACATTACTGGAATGGCTTCAAAACCATCCACAGGCAGAAATTATTTATAAGTGTCTGTTGTTCACAGCTAAAATAGAGTCTCCTGCTACACGGTGTTCTGACACAGCACAGTGTGCTCTCCTCATAACGAGCATGATCTCCAAAACAACAGCACACAACTCTGTGTGTACTGTGAACCAGTAACACAGAAGTGTTTGCTTTCCTATGGTTTTATTGAAAGCTAAAAATAATATTTTGCATAGAAGTACTTCCACTTGAACAAGCAGGACTACTTGTAAGCATCAATTCCAGCATATGGGTAAGGGCTGGGAAGGAAGGTCAGATATTACCTGATTGGTTACACAGTTGAACACTAGGGGTCTGGCCTAATGCTTTAATATTTGTTTCACATCAGTGCAATTCCACTAGAACACACATTTTCACATGATAAAAATCTAGGTAATGCCACAGTAAATCACACCGCTGAAAGTTAACTATTAACACTTCATAGAATGGAAGAGATTTTTCTTGGTTGTTTTCAGTAGAATAATAGTAATTGCCTCTTTGTAACATCAGGTTACACACCGTTTTCACTATATACAGATAAAGGTCTGTCTTCTGTTTTATTTGTAAGTCCTGGCTGGCTTTTAGTTCACCAACAGCTATTTTCTCATCTCATGCCCCTAACTCCTTTCTCTGACAGGCCATGTGTCTGGAGAGCTCCAAGGCAGTCTTAGCCCAGAGAAGCTGACCAGCTCAGCTGTGTCACAGCTAGATGGGTGCAACTGTCCTTAATTCCTCCAGCAAATACTCACCAGGTTTCTCTGCTCAGCTGATGCATTTTAGTGAACTGCAAAATGCCTGTTGTGCATTTGTAAAAGTTATCTCCCTTAATGCCAAGTATGCAGGTTTAGTGTGTTTATACAACAGGGTAAAACAAAACACTTTCCTCTGTGCCTGAAGCATGACTTTGGCAATTTATTGACCCATTCATCCGTACTCCAACAAGGAAACTCATTATGAAGGTTATGTTTCCAAACAGTACTGCTGCTTTGCTGCAAGAACCTCACCTCTCAGGCAGGGCAGACTTATTCTTCACTGCACTTCCTTAGGTCCGTGAGTGGACACATTCATGTGCTCAGAAAATTAGGACTCAATGCAAGACCCGCTTCCTTTTACAGTGACTCAAAAACAGTGAAGAAACCAAAATAGGGACACACAGTATGAACATAGTCTTCTACAGACCAACAGACAGCTGTGAAAGATACCCAGACTCAGGTGGTTCTCCCAGTTCAGAAAAGAAACATCTCCCTGACTTCTGATATATACTCCATTCAAACTACTCAAATAGCCGATTTTGTAGTAATTTTAAGTTTTCCAGAAAAAAAAACACAGGGCTATTACTTGAGTAAGAATAATGCTGAGGTGATACTTTTTGATAAATAAATGCTTCTAGTATACAGCCAGTGGGAATCCTGTTGACCCTGGAACAAAAACATATATAAAAACTTTAGCTATTAGATTTCCTTCCATTCATTTTTTCTGGGTAACCTGCACTATATAAAAACATTAATTTGCTCAGTTCAGGACAGATGCCCCAGTTCAAGAGAGAATATCCATTCAGAAAGTAATTAACTCCTATTAATTTCGTGCCTTTATTTATTAAATAAAGATAAATTTACTAATGTATTTACATAATTTTCTGAAATAAACCATTGTCTGATCTTGCATTAATTTCTTAACAGTTGCAGGACATACCATCTCGCATTGCAAATCTGAACTGCAAACTGATCGACTGTCACAAGTCGTATTTTCCTCCCTTCTTCTAAAGCAGAATTCCATTTTTGCTTTCATTTGCTAGCTGCCTTCTCCCCCTTTTACACTCTATTTTTCATTCCTTTCAGACATTACCTCTCAAACCAACTTAATAATCTAACACTTACTTGCAAAAAATGATTTAATTAAGGAGTGAATCCATGCTGAACATTCTGCAATGCACGCAAGTGTGTGAACTGCAGTTTTGGAAACAGTTACGTTCTGTGCGAGAACTCTTGCTGAAGATAATGAAAATTCCAAGTACTCAGTATCTTGGGAAAAAAATTTGCAGCACTTGGAATATTTTTAATGGATTTACTAGCAAATATTCCTCTCTCAGATATAGTGTTACCATTTTTTCCCTTTCTTCTTTTATTTCTTTACATATTGACATTACTTAAAAACACAGATTTATTCAAGTCATCTTCAGAAATAACTTAGCAATTTTTTAAAACTGATTTTGCGCTTTTTAGAGGCAGCATCTACATAATACCAATACAAAATTTCAAATTATACAGTTTCAACAGAGATACCTTCTCATAGCTATGTTTCCAAACCACTTATTAAAGAGGAATAGCATTACAAACAAATCCATCTGCTGTGATACCACTGTTCTCCACATTCATTACAAATAACGTAAGTCAACATTTGTTCATCTGGATTTGTGTTTCGCACCCAACCTGGAAGAAAGAGAGTTCCTCTGGCGATCATAGTGACAGTGCAATCAAATTTTTCACAGCGCCTACATTTTATTTTATTTGTCTGTGTGCCATTAATAACTTGTGGAAGCTGATGTTCCTGAACAGATGATTCTGTGTACAGAGCCCTGAGCTGTTTCAGTTCATCGCTGGCCATTTCCATCACTGTCATCTCAGCAAAAGCCTTTGGACTCAACGTCCCTGAAAAAAGGTTATGTTTTAAGTGGCAACTTTTAGGGTTCTTGAGGTTAGAGATTTTGCTTCTGATGCAATTTTTATACCTTTTGTCATTTTTAGCATGAAGAGCAAAAATATGTTCTTCGATTTCTTTAGATAGCTCTAGCCATTTATTAGTTTCTTCTTCGTCTTTGGTAGAACCAGTCAAAGCTTTATAAAGAAGATCCGTACATTTACACCTCAGAGCTCTCATCGGATCCTGCTGCAGACTTCCTTCGTTAACAAGAGGTTTAGAATCTTCATTATCAGTGTGTTGTTCCTCAAAAGAAGAAAGCTGATTCATGCTGCCTTCTGCGTCGTTACATACCACATTTTTAACAGTTTGCAATGGGACCAAAATTTTAGAACTAGTAGCATCTAATGCGTCCTGCTGACACGGTCCTTCAGACAGCGATTGCTCTCTAGGAACCACACCAAGACGTTCAATTTCCTCTTTCACGTACACAGAAACTGACTTTTTAACTTGCATTGACTGAACACAGTTATTCTTGTAAAGTGCTTTCCACCTTGATAATAACCGCTTTGCTTTCTTTTTCAACTCTACTGAAGGGCAGCTCTTGAGTACTCTGTATACAGCCTTGGCAACTTCTGTCCCCTGAAGATATTCTATAGTCATATCAACATCTTCAAGTTCTTTGAGATGATCCTCAATATCTTGGAAATTGTTCTCAGACAGTAGCTTTTCAATACAATGCGCTCTGTGTACAATATTTTTCTGGTCAGACATTTTTAAACCTGAAAGCGAAAAAATGTTTATCATATTTATTGCAGTTATGACATTAATTCATTTTCTGTATATTCTCAAAGGGTTTTCTTTTTATTTTATGTTATTTTACACTATTTTGTTTGTATACCTCACTGGTTTTGCCAGCTTTTTCTTGAAATGGTGTACAGTAGTTAGTGGAGCAAATGCAAAATGCAGAGGAGCCTGGGTCCTGGAAAAATGCAAGTGGCCATGCAAGGAAAACACTGGTGGAAAGCAGAGTCCACAGGGATTTCTGCTGGGGTAGGGTTAACCATTTAAAAAGTAGGGTATGACACTAATTTTTAAGGAAAAGTACCATGTCTTGGCAAAAACCACACTAACAGCATAATAAAAATGTCTGTCATACTTGTTTTTCTACGCATGCACACCACAACAGAAGTTCACAGGGAGATTCTCAACTACTACAAGAAGGGGGGTAACTACAAAAACACACTGCTGTATGAGATTACAGGTAGGCTTTGCAGTGTTTGCACATTAGTAGACTCTAGTACAAACGGGACTAACGAGGAGCAACGGGTTGTGAAATTCAGTATTTTTCACCAAAAGCACCAGATGATCACCCGTTGATGTTTAAAATCTAGACACTGTTATCAAATGATACACTTTCCAAAAAATGAAAAGGACGCTTTATAGGCAACGTATCCCCCCCTCCTCACGCATACAGAGAAACAATGAAAATATTAGTAGGGTTTTTACAGTATTAGTGTTAACAAATTGAATCTAATAAGAATGCTGTTTTCAGAAAATCAGTTTGTTTTTCTATCACAGAAAGTTAAAGTCTATTAAAAACAATGTCTGGGACTTCTGCTATAACAGGCATTTGAACAACATAATGATCTCACACTGTTGAATACATTCTGTAATAGCTTCCTGATAACCTCCAAAGGCAGATTTGTAAGTAAACACTGCACTAATTTAATCTGAAAGTTGCAATGACATGGAAGTTTACTGCAAGACTCCAAACCCAGGGAGATCATTGCTGTCATCTTTCCAGAACGCATATGCAAAATAACCCTCCTCAGAAAAACTGACTTACGTCTCAACTTTTGGGAACCTGTATTTAAACCTCTTTTTCCATTTTTCACAGTTTTCAAGCATCTGACTACAAATTAACTCACTAAAAGTTGCAATGATACAGAATAATAGAAAAATCAAAGTGGGTCCAAAATCTCCACATTGTAAGATGCTTTTTTGGTTGCTGATTTTTGGGGGTTGTGTGTTTGGTTTGTTTTTGTTTTTCTAAAATCAGTCATTCCTGCAACTCTACCCTAACTTACCAAGATTTTTTCACAAATCCGTATAATAAATGCTGAGATGTTTGGCTATCTGTGGTTTTGTTTTTAATAAAATCTGCAAGTTTCCACTTGGTTTGTTATGAGAAACCCTTTAGTCAATATCAAATATATAGGTTTTGGCATTAGAAGACTAATTTGGAGTAGGGAGCAATGTGTAGCACAGCTATGTTTTTCACAAATTTGTTTGGTTTTGCCACTGTCGTGTGTATGTTGTAGCCTGTATAATGGAGAATCATTGATACATGCAGAAATTAGATACATGCATCAAGAATGACCCATGAAAGTTAGAAAGTTTAAGAAAATTTGCACGCTCACATTGTTTTAGTTAATATTAACTTCTACAGCAGACAGATGAGATACCTGTGAATCGGTTTTTTCATTTCAGACTTTTTCCTCAAGCCTTGTTACTTCAAAAGAATAAAATTAACCAGCTAATGTGGACATGGTATCTGACCAAAACCCACTAACCTAAATGACTTTTTCAAGCACCTGGTGGAGATGTCAGAGTTTTCAGGCCTTTTGAGGAACTTTTGTATGTCACCATAACTTGATACTAGGGATTTCTTCAATTACTAAACACTGAGTAGCTGAACACATTTTATTGGGAGCTGCAAAGCGAACGTTTGGGGCTACTCTGCAGCAAGTTTAAGTAAGTGAGCCTGACATAACTCAGTGGATCTTAAACCCAAAATGTCATTCTGGTTCCTACATGACCCTCAACCTTTCACTTGCTATGCAAGAGATCACATGTTATATCTCTTCCAAAAGTTTCTCTCTATAGTTGCCAACAGAGAAGTAAGTCGGACTAGTAAACTTTTAACTGAGGTCCCCACCGCTGCCCTTTCCCTTGCCAGCTCTGGCATATTACAGTTTGATTATCAAGGCAGGGCAGCTCAAAAATAGCGACACCTGCAAAACAGTTTCAAAACAGTGACATCTACAAACTTCTAATTGCTATTTTTGGAAATTCTTGAAAGTTAAAGACACATCCCTCTATATCCTGAAAAGTACCTAAAGCATGCTCCCATATATTCTGATGCGTTAAGTGGAAAGAAAAAGGGGATTTCAGAATGCTCTGTGCAAATTTACACACAAAAAGAATTAATACTACTAACATTATTCTCCTGTTTGCGGAAAAGAATTAAATGTAGAATGCAGAACTGAATGGTGTGTTGTGAGTGTTAAGTTAACTCTTTTCTTAGGAGTTAAGTCTTCTCAATTTGTGCACAAAACCAGTGTTTTCTCTGAAGTTGCATACATCCCGGTTCTACTCTAGAAAAAGTCATCTGCCTGATAGAGACGGATACAAGGCTAGCTACACAGGTCCACGTTTAAAGGAACTCATAAGCAGATTTCTTGCACCACCATTGTTTCCATGATGAAACCTCCTGAGAATGGGAGGAGGGACAAGTGATATAGCTGGGTAATTTGCACGCTCTGTTACTTTCTATGACCACCAGCCCAGCTAACTTGTTTTCTGCATGACAGAAGTAAGTTCAAACTTTAGGTAGGGCCTCAGAGCTCCACAAAAGAAAAAGGACAGAGACAGAGAGAGAGCATAAACCTTCACCTGTTTCTATAATCCTGAACCACAGACCAACCTGACCTCCGCAGTGAATGATCTCTGCATTCACTTAACCTGTAAACAGCTCATTCTTGCCTGACATTTTGAAGTCCTGCAAAACCTCAATAATGGCTATTACAGAGACTGGCTTACTACTCAAGAAGCTTCAGAATCAGAGAAACAGGATACATTTTTTAAATACTTAAGTTGAACTCTATGCATCGTCACACTGAAAAGCACATGTAATTGCATCCTCGCTCATCTCTTCTGCTGTAGGAACACGCAGAGGCTGTGAGAGTGGAAAGAGGTGTTTCTCTTAGGTAGGGCAGCCATCACCACAGCAGGATGGTACCCCATCTCTAAGTAGCTGACATCAGAAAATGATGATCTGCTAGCATTTGCTGTTTTTCATGCAATCTAGGGCAGAGTTGGTGACACAGTTATATGCTTAACCAGTATGATTGTCTTATGCCTTAGAATCAGTTCTGCTCTTTTCAACATACTCCACTTCAAACATAATTTTCTTCAGTTCTTGTACCTATCTATGTATGTATTGTATTATGCTACACATACCATAAAATACACTTATCCAAATGCAAGATGACTTCACGAATTCTCAATATTTAGTATACAGGACTATGGACATGCAAAGAAATTACTACACACAAAGTGCTCTGCTGATAATTTGTCCAGGCCTCACAAAGGTGAGGTATTTTGATCTTTCATTGAGGACTATGCTTCATAGAAAGTTTCCTCTCTAATACCGCAGGGTGAGGATCCATATGTAAGAAAAGGTGCATAAAGTCCATGGATAACAACCACTTTATGGTAGTGGTCCTTGCTCATGATTATCCACCTGACCCTAGGCAGCCCACCACAGTGGCAAGGTGAAGACATGCCCATTTCTGTGGCCAGTCTCACGGAAGGAAAATGGCCGAAAAAGACTCCTTTGGCTCCACAGCTATGAGTGGGCATTGGCAGCTGGGGTGACTAACACAAAGCCTCTAAGGGGAGCTAGAGCCCACGCGGCAGCATCTGCAGCAAGAACAAAGCCATTCTGCCACACACTCACAGTGAATTACCTTACACTTACAGGACACCTACAGCTAGTGAGAAGGAATTGACATATGCTAACTCATCACCCCACACTAAGATGCTTTTTTTCTAATAGGCAGATCTAAGACAACCTGTTTTGTTTTTATTTAACCCTCTACCAGATATATAAAAGGCTGGTTTAGATTGCATTAAATGCAATATATATGTTCTACCTTAGGACTTTTTCCACACGTGCGCTAACGCAATATATTAAATTATTAGAAATTTTAAGATCCTCTTAGTCATGCATTGACTTTTTCAAGTTTATGCAACATTAAATTCAAGCACATAAATGTTATGGCAGCAGTTAAATAAGCAAACTGAAAACAGAATATGGACATGAAAATCTGAACAATGATTTAAAAATAATTTTGGAAGTTCAACCACCTAACAGAGTGGTTTAAGTCAAAACAATCACTTCTAAGGGAATGCTTTCCTCAACATGTACAACATATAGCAAAGAGGTAAGACTGAGTGACTCCCTTCTAACTTATTAAGCAAAGCTAGGTAAAAGTAACAGAAAAAATGTCATCAAAAATATATGACAAGAACAGAACCAAATCCATAATTAATTACTTCAATGGAGTGGGATATTCACTGGTAACTGGCAGAAGCACAAGAAACAGCCAGCAGAGAAACCACTAAATAAAGGTAATAAATGTGTCTTTATTTCAGTGACAATAGAGGTTTCTGTGGGGAAAGCATTCTTGGAATGGCACTGGCTTTGTTGTGTGTACCTAGTTTGCAAAGGATTTTAAGATCCTTCAAGATGAAAAGTAATAAATACATCTGAAATACTATGCTAACTATTCAATCATAAATTTCATCTCATCTTCCAAATTAAAGGGGGGGGGGGAGGGAAGTTGTTTGTGCATTTGTTGCCCTATAAGTCAAGCAAAGACTGGATTTATCACCGAGGTTGACAGAGACCATTATTTTACAGGATCAGAAATTAAACAGAGATTCCTGAACTTATAAAGAACATGTAAGGTTATGAAACGGTTCATTT